TGAACCAGTGGCCTTCAGATGTTGTTAAGCTCCAACTCCAGCATCCCTCACCATTGTAGTAAGTTGTGGTCAGTGCACAAGGTTCCTTCCCCTCTTCCCCTTACAACAGCCCTGCAAAGTAATTGAGCTGACCGGTCCATGGATAAAGCTTATTTTGTAGCTAAGTAGAGACCCATATCTGATTTTCCCAAATCTAATTGGGAGATCAATCACTAATTATTACTGCTACTAGTATGAGTACTACAGCCATGCTACGGAAGATGTGCTCTGCCCATTGTACCACACTGCTCTGGGTATACCCTACTCCCATATTGTATGGTACCACAGACACAACATGCATAAAGGCACACGCTTAGGATGTTGTGCAATTTCAACTATTATGTTTGTAACTCACGGGGCTAAGTGTGATGTGTGAACACAGCCATACGAAGCCCCAGTCTTGGAGCGGGTAGATCCAGCACGTTCTGCTGTCTACAGAAGACACCCTTGGGTTCAGAAGGATGAACTTTTGTTCTGAACTTAAACTGTCATTCATACGTGTGGGCGGCTGGATGGGTGGCTAGAGTCTAGGACATAGATTCATCGACATTATGTCGATCTCATATAACTAAGTTTTAAGGACCTTTTTTGAAAAAGTGACCCTGCTGATCATTTTTACTGCTTTAATTGTAGAATAATGAGTGACAGCTGCTGTACGTGGGGCTGAAGCAGTATTTGCCAGTGTGGTACAAGCACAAACCCAAAACTGCACCCCATGAGAGAGAACTAAGTAGCACAAGTTACTTTATTTTACTTTGGCTACGAAGCCCAAACCTTTCAGAGGCTGCTCTGGTCACATGCTCAAGAAACTCTCTGCAAAAATTATTGCTCCCTTTGCAACACTATTTTCAGCTGGAGACTGGCACTTCTGTTCCCTGCTCTCACGGGTTCTTTCCTAATTTGAGGAGGGGGAGTCCTGTCCCACCTAAATCATTTCTGCAAAACACTGGGTGGACTGGAGAATTTTCTTCCCCGCTCCCCCGAAACCCAACATTCTATTTTTGCTCCAAGATCTTGCAAATTCTCAGTCATGCTCCATGCAGGTAAAAGAAAAAAAATGCAGTTAGACCATAAGCTATGCTTTTATTTTTTGTACAATGCCGATAAAAGAAAGAAGCAGTTCCTCTCTCTGTATAGATAGTTCTGATTCTCCAGAGAGACTGAGGAATGAGAGAGACCGTTCTCGAAAGAGTTTCATCTCTCTCCACCTGTCTTCTGTGCTCACTAGGGTGATGCAGGAAACCCAGGTGATCCGGGCACACCTGGCGAAGCAGGTTTACCTGGCCTTTCTGGTGAGCCTGGCATCAGAGGACCAGAAGGGGTGAAAGGTGAAAAGGTGAGTGCCTGTTTTTTTGGAAATACTGGGGATTCTAACATGGTTTGGGCACACACTAATATCCCATACAAATAATTAAGCTCTGCCAGACTGAGCTGTTTCTCGTCAACCTAACTTGCATCTTCCTGTGAGTAGAAAAGATCATTTTAACACATCTGTAAATCTGTCATTGATAAATACAGTTGGCAGGGGTGTCCACAGCGATGGCCAAAAAGGTAAAGATACACAATGCACATAAAAAGCAGACTGAGTTTTGATTGTACCATCGTGGCCGCCATCTTGATTGTTTTGACCATATCATGTGAACACCTCTGGCACAAGGGAAGAAATTAGAAGAAAGAAAGAAAGAGAGAGAGAGAGAGAGGG